AAACAGGAAGTACACTGTAAGCAACTTCCAAAACTCTAGAATTGACAGAGACATCTGACTGCCTGGAGAGTCACCCAAAGTTCTTCTGTACTGTTGGGGAATCCAAATTCAGCCTACAAGTCCATAGTATATGGCTGACTTTCCATGATGCAGGAAATTTCAAAGACATTTCCACCTACATTGGCAGTTTGTCAGTCATTTTCTTCTGTGTCATGCAGAATGTCTGGGAGACTCTTTCGTGAAGCAGGAACCCCAAAGGATTGTCTCATGTTTAGGCAAGTTCAGTAGTCATTTCTAAGTGGGTCCTGAATGTTCAGTTCAGCAGTTCAGGCAGGAGCAGTTTCTCACCCAAATGGCTAGCAAACTCCATAAGGAATCTCTTTGATACTCATCATCCTCTTGAAGTAGCTGGTGCTTCCAGGATCAGATATGTCTCACTGTCATGTAGTCTTAAGTTCTTAAACATTTTAAATTCAATATTCTGAAAGTCTCTGAAAGATCTGATGAATGCATAACTGAAATATCTCTCTGTATATCTAGAAAACCTAACTAACATGACTACAAGCTTGACTATTATAGATGACTATCTATTAACTTATATTTTTAAATTATGCGTTACATTTTAAATGAGCTGTAAAAACACAGTACCTTAATCAAGAACAGAAATATAATTATAACAAAATTGATCCTAAATTTGTATCAATAAACCAAGATCCATACCAATACACATTCTTCATCTCTATAGAATATCCCCCTTTAAATGCAAAGGAAAATTCATAAACAATAATTTGAAGGATGGGTGTGTAGTTTCTCCAAGCTGCTTCCTGCTGTTTGGGAACTGTGTTAATCAGGTCTTTCATGGTGTATCCTGTGTGCTAGGTTAATCTCAGTCAGCAGTTGGGTGAAGTAATTTTTTAGGGATATTCAAGCTTTAAGGGGGTCTTATTCCTCCAAGCCACAACAGTCTGGAAGCAATCCACAGGTTTCTTTATCTATGGAAACAAGAGAACCTCTTTTTCAAAGCAACATATCCTTAGAGCCAAATTTTGAAGTCAAGATACCTTTGTAATATACATGCTGGTTTAGCTTAGCAGCCCATACTATGAAATGTCTCTGTACTTAGCTCCTTCAAAGTCAAAAAATCAAAGAAAACACAATAATATACATAAACAAGACTACTATCTGTGTATAGTAAAACTTTATGTGGCTTATTTTTCTTTACTCCTTTTAATTTATGACTGTCTGTACTGTCTCTTTAAAGACTTTGCTTTTTTAAAACCATTTACATTTTTTCCAACTCTCTATACTCTTTTTCTTCTTCTCTCTTCCAAACCTACATATATTGATTCAACACTGTGACCCATTTAGAGGTCTTTTATGTCTGAATCTGTCCTACTATGTATCTGTAATTATTTACTGTCCAGGAATATGTTTTAAAATGATAAGTGCTTCTTAAAACTTAAACTGTGTCATTCCTAAGGTAATACACTACTTCCTTTTTCCCTTGCCCAGTCCAGCTGGTGCCTGTGAGAATCAGGCACATCACACCATTCTCAGGCATATAACAAGTCCATGTCACCATTAAACAACTGCAGCAGTCTGCTAACAAACCCCATCCAAATGTTCCTTAGCCAGACCTCCTGCCTGAAGGAGTCAGAGTTCGTGGTGGAGCATGACCCATAAAGCAAACATTTCAAAATAGTGTGGCTTTTTTCTTTGCTACAATTGAATCAGAAAAACCTCTCTTAAAGGAGCTGTGGCACGCTGCCAGCAAACAGCAAGAAGCTGTGTTAAACTCTGTATTTTTGTGTCTAGAATTAAACTTTCTCAGGTTTTTAAGTAAATTTTTTTTGGCCCATGGGCAACAATCTGTAGTATGCAGGGGCCTCTTGTCCATCCTGGCCTCCTAGAACAAAAATAACTATACAGAAACTATATTAATTAAAACACTGATTGGCACATTAGCTCTAGCTTCTTATTTTTTTATTGAAATAAAAATTTCCGCTTCCTCCCAGCCTCCCATTTCCTTCCCCTCCCCCCACTCCTCTTCCCCTCCCTCTCCATTCCAAAGAGCAGTAAGTGTTCCCTGCCCTGTGGGAAGTCCAAGGTCCTCCCCCCTCCATCCAGGTTGAGGAAGGTGAGCATTCAAACTGGCTAGGCTCCCACAAAGCCAGTACAATCAGTAGGATCAAAACCCAGTGCCATTGTCCTTGGTTTCTCATCAGCCCTCATTGTTCGCCATGTTCAGAGAGTCTGGTTTTATCCCATGCTTTTTCAGTCCCAGTCCAGCTGGCCTTGGTGAGCTCCCAATAGATCAGCCCCACTGTCTCAGTGGGTGGGTGCACTCCTCACGGTCCTGACTTTCTTGCTCATGTTCTCCCTCTTTCTGCTCCTCATTGGGACCTTGGGAGCTCAGTCCATTGCTCCAGTGTGCGTCTCTGTCTCTATCTCCATCCATCGCCAGATGAAGGTTCTATGGTGATGTGCAAGATATTCATCAGTATGAATATAGGATAGGGCCATTTCAGGTTCCCTATCCTCAGCTGCCCAAGGAACTAACTGGGGACATCGCTCTGGGCACCTGGGAGCACCTCTATGTTCAAGCCTCTTGCCAACTCTAAGATGGCTCCCTTAATTAAGATATAGACTTCCCTGCTCCCATATCCACCCTTCCTTTATCCCAACCATCCCATCCCCCAAGTTCCTCCCATCCTCCCCTTCTCACTTTTCTCTCCCCATCTCCCCTTACCCCCATCCCAGTCAACCCCCAAGATCCCAATTTTTTGCCTGGAAATCTTGTCTTCTTCCAATATCCAGGAGGATAACTATATGTTTTTCTTTGTGTTCACCTTCTTATTTATCTTCTTTAGGATCACAAATTATATAGGCTTCACCAACCCTGCAACAGACAAAGGTCTGATCTCCAAAATATATAAAGAACTCAAGAAACTACACTTTAAAATGCTAATTAACCCAATTAAAAAATGGGGCACTGAACTGAACAGAGAATTCTCAACAGAAGAAGTTCAAATGGCCAAATGGGATCCTATTCTCTTTGTATGTATGCCTTACTCAGCCTAGATATAAGGTCATGCTCAACTTCCTTAGCAATCAGGGAAATGCAAATCAAAACAACTTTGAGATATCATCTTACACCTGTCAGATTGGCTAAAATCAAAAACACCAATGATAGCCTTTGCTGGAGAGGTTGTGGAGGAAGGGGTACACTCATCCATTGCTGGTGGGAATACAAACTTGTGCATCTACTTTGGAAATCAGTGTTTCGGTTTCTCAGGAAATTCAGGATCCACCTACCCCAGGACCCAGCAATGCCACTCTTGAGAATATACCCAAAAGATTCCCTATCATATTACAAAAGCATTTGTTCAACTATGTTCATAGCATAAACATTATGGTTAAAAAAAACAATGACATCTTGAATTTTGCATGCAAATGGATGGAAATAGAAAACACTATCCTGAGTGAGGTAACCCAGACCTAAAAAGATGAACATGAGATGTACTCACTCGTAATTGGTTTCTAGCCATAAATAGCTCTAGCTTCTTATTGGCTAACTCTTACATATTAATTTAGCACATTTATATTAATCTGTCTATTTCCATGTGGCAGTGGCTTACCAGCAAATTTTCAGCATGTCTGACTATGGTGGCTCCATGGCTTCTCTCTGACTCTGCTTTTCTTCCTCCCAGCATTCACCCTAGCTTTCCCTGCCTACCTAAGTTCTACCTTTCTATAGGTCCAAAGCAGTTTCTTTACTCATTAATGGTAATCACAGCACATTGAGGGGACTTCACATCACTGCCCTGTAGTAAGACTGATAATTATCTTAAATATCACTATAGAACCTTTGTCCAACAACAGATGGAAACAGAGATAGAGACCCACATCAGACACTGAACTGAGCTCTCAAGATCCAGATGAAGAGTGGAAGGAATGAGAATATGATCAAAGAGGTCAAGAGCATGATGGGTTCATCCACTGAAACAGTTTACCTGAGCTAATGGGAGCTCACCTACTCTAGCCTAACTGAGTAGGAACAGGCATGGGACCTAACTAGTCCCTCTGAATGTGGTTGACAGTTGCATGGCTGGGGCAGAAATGAGGGGCCATTGGCAGTGGCACTGGGATTTATCTCTACTGAATGTACTTCATTTTTGGGATCCTATTCTCTTTGTATGTATGCCTTACTCAGCCTAGATATAGTAGGGAGGGTCTTAGACCTTCCATAGAGCAATGTACCTTATCCTCTCTCAGGATTAGATGGGGGTTAGATGGGAGGGTGTGTGGAGGAATTGTAAGATGAGAGGGAATGGGAATTTGGATTAGAATTTTTAAGAAAAAATAATAATAAATTAAAAAATACTACTTTCCATGGTAGGGGCATAGAAATAAGAAAAGTTAGTAAAGATTACAAAGACAAGAGTGAAAATAATAAAAATATAGGATAGTATTGTGAGGGAGTTTCAGTGAATATTTAAATCATTCATGATTAATTTTCCATGCCCTTTTATAATTCAAGACAAAAAGGGAAAGAAGGCAACAAAAAGCTTTTTTAACATGATACAAAGAAGAACTCAAACAGTTAGCTGAAAAAAACAAATAGCCACATCCTGAGTGATGGTGCATAATTCTACTTGTTAAATATTAAGCAACCTCCAAACTCTCTGACTAACCACACAAGGAAAAAAGAGGCTCACATATTGGGGCCTCTACATTCGGAGTTTATTTTCACACTTATTGCACTTCAAAGAAAGTAAGGAACACATCCCCTATGCACTAATGGCTAATAATTATTTCTTAATTTCTGAGTAGAAGACTACAGGTCACAATGTACAGAAAAGTAGTATACATAAAACTTCTGGCATCATCATTAGAAGAAAATGAGAATCTCTCGTTAGTGGATGTATCTTGCATGGCATTGTAATAGATGGCTCTATAACAACATTACAGTTGTCAGTTACAATTTATGAATTGTGTGTTCAAAAAGATCTTTTCTCCCTCAACTTTTGAAGAGAATTTCTTTCTGGTCTTAATAAAATTATGTAGCACTTGGGGATAAAGATGCATCCCAGTAGGCCTGCACTGGAAATCAAGATGGATAAGATCTCCACAACCACCATGACTTTGCCTTTGGTACTGTGATAGACAGGGATAAAAGTGACCCAGACACTGTAGAACAACAGCATGCTGAAGGTCAGTAACTTGGCTTCATTGAATGTGTCAGGGAGATTCCTGGCCAAGAAAGCCACAATGAAGCTCACTAAGGCAAGGGAGCCATGGTATCCCAGGACACAGTAGAATGCAGTCACTGAGCCCTTGTTGCACACAATGATGATTTGGCCAGGCTCAGACTGTGCATCATTGTCAATAAAGGGCGGAGAAAATTGCAGCCAGCTTGCACAGAGAATAATTTGGATGAGAGTACAGATGACAATGATGTAATTGGGTGCCCCTGAAACAAGGAAGTACCTCATCCTTCTTCCAGGGACTGTGACTTTGAAAGCAAACAGCACAGTCACTGTTTTGGCCAACACGGTAGAAACTGCCACAGTGACTACAACTCCAAATGTGACTTGCTGTAGGATACAGGTAGCTGAGTTGGGATGCCCAATGAAGAGCAAGGGACACAGGAAACAAAGGATGAGTGAAATTAGCAAGATGTAGGTGAGATTCTGGTTATTGGCCTTCACAATGGGAGTGTCATGAAACTTTACAAATACTCCAAGAACCACAGCTGTGAATGCAGAGAAGCATAAGGCCATTAAGGAAAGAGCCAACCCCACAGGATCTTTGTAGTTCAGAAAGACCACAACCTTTGGAATGCACTGGTTCTGTTCTCTGTTGGCATACTGGTCCTCTGGACACCTCACACATTTATCCACATCTGGTGTAAAATGAAAAGCATGATTAGAGCAACTTCAACCATTTATGGGGAGAATATTTCAATTAATTGTTTTGAAGAAGCATTGAATTATCTGCTTTTGTTGCTGAGGATGTAGTTGAATGACACTGTTGCATAGCACTGCATCCATTTCATAATACACATGCATTATCATTTTGGGTAATGAAGTGAAATCATTATGTTTTCTATTTAACTATTTGCTGATGATGTCATTTATTATATTATCAGAAAGAACAGACATTTTCTGTAAATTCTAAACGTTATGATGAAAAAACTTAAACTGGTGAATTGACAGAAGTTAAAATAATTAACCATTGTATTACACAGAGAATATTTTAAAGTATTAGATTCCTTGGTTTCCATGCCTCCTGATGTCATTCTGTCTGTTTTTGGAATACTCTCCTGGAAACAGATGGAGACTGTGTCTTCTATCGGGGCAAATCAGTTGATATCTTTTCTAGTTTGAATTTACCATCTCAAACACACTGACAGAGAAACAACACTAAACAGAATCTGTAGGAACCTTTGGAGTAAGCACATAACATGCCAAGACCAAGTTCTCAATAAAAGGAAAATTATTTGTCCCAGAGGACAGTGGGTTGGGAATAAGAGGCAATGACAGGAGATATAGAATGGAGGAGTAGGGTAAAGCAATCAGAGAGAGGGGAAGGGTTTTTGGTTAGGAAGGATGAAGAACTGCCTCCAGATAGAGAGGAGATAGATGTGACCTGGAGGAAAATAAAAATTATTTATTTAATTAGCATGAATCATTAAATTTGATTGGACAGCCACATGGGAGTTTTTGCTAGCTGGACTTCAATACTTTGATAGCCAGTCTCAGGAGAATGAAGTGGCCAAATAAGGAAATAGAGTGTGGTGGCTAACTTTTAGGATATAGTAGCTTTTTTAGGGTTTCCTAATGCTGTGAAGAAAAACAATGATTATGGTACTCTTAAAAAAGAAAATATATAATTTGGTGTCTTACAGTTTGGAGGCTCAGCCTACTATCATCATGCTGGGATATGCTAGTATGCAGGCATTCATGGTGCTGGAGAACTAGCTGAGTTTTCTACATTTTGATTCTTAGGCAATAGGAAGTAAACTGTCTCAATGGGTATGGCCTAAACATAATTGAGACCTCAAAGTCTGTCTCCATCATGACACACTTCTTCTGTTGAGACTATACCTGCACCAACAAGGCCACACCTCCTGATAAGGCCAATTATTGTCACTGTTCAAACTATCACTGCAATCTAATGGATGTTAGCAAGGCAAAGAGAATGAGGGAGAAGGGCAATACTTACTAGATCCATGTTTGCCATGCTCCAGAAGGCTTAAGTCCTTTAATAATCAGAAAGTTGTATGTGCTTATATTATTTACATGAGTGTGTACATATAAGTGTAACAACAAAGCTGAATATGAGAGTGATTAGGTTTATAAGGGAGATGAAGGAGTATAAAATGAGAGATGAAAATTATATAAATATAATTTTTGTTTTAAAATGAAAAATATAATTAAATTAAATTAAAAAAATGAGTCTCCATTTTTGTCCTCATCTGGTAGTATGAATCCTTTATTTCTGAGTTTTGTTCATAAGAAACAGAAACCCTATCCTGAAGGTAGAAATCTCTTTACATACTTAGCATTAAAAATCCCTACTTCTTGATTCCATCACCTTTGAGAACAAACAAATGCATTTCTCCCTCCCTCTTTCTATCTCTGTGAGAGCCAGTCTCTATAAATGTACTCAGGGGTAAAGAAGATATTAATATAGTGTCATGAGCACAATAGCACAAGAATACCCATGCAGAGTGATAATACAGAAGGTTTATTTTGAGGTATAGTACCCCACATAAACTGTAATTGAAAGGCTAGAAAAGATTCCATTTCTGTGCTGGGCTGTTTTGAACCCCAGTCCCCAGGATAACCTAAAGGCTTGCTTCAGAAGAGTTGAAGGCTCCCAGGATAAGCTGAAGGTCATATGACCTCTCCTTGGAGGAAGTATTAGCTAATGGAGAAGCCTAAGTTACATAAAGTTGCTGACTGCAGCCCATTTCCCCACCCAACTTTCCCTATCCACTGAGTGATATCAGCTGGGCAATGTATCAAGCAGCCCTTGTGGTTAGCAAGGGGTCAGCAGATGTGGATGTAACCATGGGGGATGTTGCTATCCCCCTTAGATACTAATAGCCTATCATAAATTAACAGCTGAGCTTTACCTCATCTTTAGCCAATTATGATATAGGATACGTTTTTGGAGACTGTAACCCTGTAATTGTTTTGTGGCTTTAGTCTTTATAAACTCCTAACAACAGTAGGTGGGCTCTTTCTCCCTCCTGCTGTGTCAGACTGTAAGGCAGAGGACCTGTGCTATCCAGTACTTAAACAAAGCCTTGGTTTTGCAGTTGGAAGTGTGGTTTCATGGTGGTCTTCTTGGGAGTTCTAGGACTCAGGCACAACATTTGGGGGCTCACCTGGGAGGACCCAAGAATCCCCAGACCCTTATCCCGAAGGTTTCTGGACCACCAGTGAGTAATACTGTCTGTCAGATGTTTGTAGCCATTTGTAGCTGTGATTTGTGATTTCTGTCTGTTATGTGTAAATCTGGTAGCATGTTAACAGGCAGTTCCTTCTTTTCCTCTAGTAAGGAGTTCTGCTTTCTTTGTGGGCTGGAAATTCTTTTTCCTTTCAAAACAGCCCATGCTGGTGTCTGTAGCGTCATGCTGTGTCTGAGGCTGTGAGGTGGTCCATAATGGTCGTTGTCTGGAACAGCTGACAGATGTGTCAGTAGGGCCGGGATCACAGGCATCCAAAGAAAACGGTTCTGGAGCCCACTGGGAGAGCAGGCTCCCATCTGGAGGAAGTTGGTTCCTCCTCATTGTCCAGAGCCCCCCAAGAAGCCTGGAGTCTTTGCAGAATGGGGAAGCGGGTTCTGATCAGCTTCCTTTCTTGGAGGATTTGGAATCCCATCTGGAGGATATTAAGTCCTCAGTAATCCAGAGCCTCCACTGGGAGCCTGGGTTCATATCGTCTTTGGAATCTTGGATGTATCTCAAGCCAGGGAATGTAACCAGGACTTCAGAACTTTGGTTGAGTTTTTGAGGCCTCGCTGTTTTCTTTCTGTAGCTTTTATTTGGTTTCTGATGGTTGGTTGTTTCTTTGTCTATTGTGTTTAAGATTTGATTGACAAGGACTGGAAAAACGGAACTGAGCTTAAATGTGCGGAGGAAAAAGGGAGTGAATAACAGGAATAATAGCACCTCGGCTGCTGCCAGTCTAGGGTCTACACCCCTAGCTCTGAGCCCAGTCTGATGACAGGGAACACACTTCCTGGGCGCTGAGAGCCAAGACTGCATGCAATGTGGCAGAGGACCTGGGGCTCGGTGGTGGCAAGCTTCGTGCATGCCGGAAGCATGCCGTGCACGCTCTGGGGTCCCTCTAGGGGTGGAGACTCGGGCTGGGCTCAGTGGTGGGGCCCACGGGGCTCCAACAACAGTAGCCTTGCCTGGGATGGAGCAGGTGGCGAAGTTGGCTTGCTCCACCCACTGGGAGCAGAGGGCAGAGGTGTGCAGATCAAAACAGCCGGGGTGGGAGGAGAAAACAGGCTACAACAAGCCTGGGGGTTGCAACTTGCAGCAGCCTAAGAAGTGCCACAGTACCGGGGCACAGCTGGGCCTTACAGCTAGGGACCCATCTGAGCCCAGCTTGGGAAGTGAACAGTTTCCTCCATGCCCCGCTCTGCAGGCCCTGTCTAGGTATCTTGAGGAAGGGACCTGCACACCTGTGCATAGGGAATTGACTGCTTACAAATGAAAAACTGCATGGATGAAAAACAGAGAATCTGAGATAAAGGCCAGAAAAAAAGTTAACAATTTTTTTTAGAAATATTGTCAGACAAGGGCACACTGTGCCCACCAGTGCTCCCAATTCCCTGATTTCTTTCCTAAGACAAGTTCTTCACTGTGGTAACATTCAAGGTCTCTTCTGCTGGCCAGCAGTTTTCCATCTTAAACCTTTTCTGTTCTGATACTGCTTATAAAAAAATGTTAAATTATACTAACCTGCATACTTTGGGGAGTGCTGATTTTTAAAGTAAACGCCAAAGATGCATTATGTTTTGGAAAAAATATGTTTTTGTTTCCACAGGAAAAAAAATATTGATTTTCATTATTTATATCCATTGAGCTACAAATACTTATTCCCTTTTTAGGAAATTGGATACAAATTATTATTGATTAAGATATATATTTCTACTTTTGCTTTAAATGTTATATCTATGCAATGTTCTGCTGGATGAAATCTCAGAAAAAGATTTTCTTGGAAATTTGAGTGTTGTCTGGGAAATGAGGGGAAAGACAAAAACTGTTTGTGATAGAGGTTTTTATGTTGTCTGGAAAGCAAACGAAAGGAGGATACTAAAATAATAAAGGTAAGTAAAGAAAAAAAAAAGGAGTTTCTCTAAAAATGTCTGACTAAACCAATGGATCAGAGATAGACAGAGAGCCAGACCTGAAAATTGCACAAGATATATGGAAAATTGTAGAAGTTGTGTAAAAAGTTGTAAAAGGTCAGAGGATGTGAAGTATGTTTGCTGTGGTTTCTCATACCTGCAAATACTAAATTTAAAAAGAAAAGATAAAAATAAGCTGAATGTTTGACATATTAGGTTAATTCTGGTTTTAAAAAGTCTTGTTTGCTTGTTAAGGGGTCATGTCTATTAATTGAGAAAATTGTGTGTGCTTATTTTGTTGAAAAATTAGTCTATGGTAATTGTAAGTTTTGTACTTGTAATTTTTCTCTGAGCTCTGGTCACTAGATTCTGGTTAGCAGGAATTTGGACGTCTTTTTTTTTTTTAAATCTTTAAAAAAATTTTTTTTTTGTTGAAACAATTTCCGCCTCCTCTAGGCCTCCCATTTCCCTCCTCCTCCCTCCACTCCTCTCCCCCTCTCCCCACTCCTCTTCCCTTCCCCCTACTCCATTCCCCCTCCCTCGAGTTTGAAGAGCAGTCCCGATTCCCTGCGCTGCGCTGCCGGAAGTCCAAGGTCCTCCCCCCCTCCATCCAGGTCCCAGAAGGTGAGCATCCAAACAGGCTAGGCTCCCACAAAGCCAGTTCCTGAAGTAGGATCGAAACCTAGTGCCATTTGGTCTTTTTGATGTAGATAATGTTAAACTTGTTTTATGCTGCTCTTTATTGAAAAGCTGCACCTCAATGCTTTTATACACAAGAATGTACCTTTCTCTGTCAGTTAAACCTTGTAATTCAAGAGTCTACCACGTAAAAAACGTAATGAAATCACAGGGGACAGTTGAGACTAGATAAGAGTCCCAAAGAAAGTCCAGATGCAAGGATGGACTTTAATAGTTTTAGAAACACCAATGCCAGGTGATAGTCATCAGAAGCATCAGTTACAATAAAATTACATAGATTATGGAACATTTGTGCTTATAAAATATTTTATATTGTTAATATTTAGATTTTAAAAAGTAAAAAAATGGTTTAAAAATATCTATCATTATTTAAGGTCTAATCAGGCTTAAAAATGTATGTATAGCCTCCTTGTCCTTGCTAACTTTGTTACGATTAAGCTAGTTGGATAAACTAAGTCATATATACTAAAAGGAACTAGTAGCTTTTCCATTAATATATGGCAATATAATACAAATTTGTTCTATTTTTTTATGCTCAGAATGACTAATTTGGTTTCTTAGTTAGCTTCAATCTATAGTCATTAATTTAAATGTTAAATCTGATAAAAATATGATATAAAGTCCTGGTCTTATTAAAGGTGCAAACTTACTATAGACTCTTAGAAATATAAGTTAATAATCAGTCAACCTTAAAGTACTAATATAATTACAGGGATAAGCCTTATTTAGTTGCCTGATATGTCTTTAAAGTCAAGCTTAAAACAAGTAATTTGTAGCAAAGCTTGTCTAATCAGATATACCTGGGCATCCCTACATACTTCAGCGATCAGTGGAATGTGGCATTTATCAGACAGAGACTCCCAGATCCTAGCAATGACCCAAGGTCTCCAAAGAAGACTGTGGGACACCACAATGTCTCCACCTGGATGATGATGATGCTGACTGCTGGGCAAGGTACCCCAATGCTACAACCTGCTGCCAGGACCCAGCCCAGACTGTGGACACTGAAGAACTGATCGCACCACTTTTGCCTAGACAAAATAAGATCAGTCTTTTTCATGTCCCTCTTCCATAGGAACATCTCACCTTATGGACCTGGTAAAGCCTGCTGCTCTGATACTTCTGCCTGCAATGTTTAGAGACCTTGGTATGAGTGTATATGGGCTGGTCTCTGTCATTTTTTAATAGATTCAAAAGGTGTTTGGTGTCTACTTAAAACAATTTATTTATCCTTCTGAGATCCCTACAGTACTGATGACTAGACTAGATGGAGTTTTGTTAACTTGACAGCATCAAAAATTTAAGATATAAATACAGGTTACAACGATATAAATAAATAATTAAAATATAAAAATGTTTCAGATTTCTTTCCCCTTCTGTTTTAGTTCTGATAAAATGATAGAGCAATGACTACTTACTGTTTGGGTCACAAGCTTAGGGTTTTAAATTTCTTTTGGTTGTCTTCTAAATGTAAGTTTACATACTTTTAACCCAAATCTATGTTTTTTGCTAGGACTCAAAGGTATGAGTCTATTTCTGCCCTTTTACAGATATCTGTTATTTGCTTTTTCTATAATATGGATTTTAATATGAGCCTAAAAGTTTTCAAGTATATTATTTTTCTTTAAGCATATAAATTTTAATTTCTGTTCCTAGTTTAAACTTGTATCAACAAGTTTGCCCTTGGTTGACAGACACAACAAAGCATCAGTTGCTGACTACCATCTGCTCCAAATGACTATGGACCCTGGACTTCCTGAAAGTTCATATGGACTAGTCTAGTCAATGTGAATGCTTCCTGGCTCTTAAACAGAGGTCACAAACCAAATGCTCCTGATAAACACCCTATTATCTGAATTTTCTCTTTGTTTCTGACCTACATATCACTTTTGTTAGCTTGACAATGATGTCTCACAGTCTGCCAGAAGTTAAAGGAATACATCATCCTTAATCCCTGGATGAGATGCTAAGCAAAAAGAAAATTCCCTTACATAGGAAGACTCTGTGCAGTTTTATAAGAATGCTGTTTTTATACTACTCATTCGAGAGTTATAAGAGACAATTTGAATTTGGCCAAAGTTAGGGAAACATTAGTCAAGCAAAAAAAAAAAAAGAATTGGACTCTTCACTAGGATGGCGAGACATTCTACAGGACACAAAAGAAAGTGATTGAACTGTCTTTGGAATTTCCTGCTTCATAGAAATGTCTGCTGGAAACTATGGGCCTGTAGGCTGAAGATGGATGCCCCCACGGTACAAAAGAACTTAGGATGACTGTACAGGTAGCAAGATGTCTGTGTCATTTCTAGAGTTTTGGAAGTTGTCTACTTAGGTAATATTATATCCTTCTGGAATCTTTGATGGAGTTGAAGAATAGATAGATAGTTATAGTTTTCCTTGGTTATGATAAAAAGATAAAATAGATATAAATATTGTAACTGTAATTTTTGCTTGATAACTGTTTTGTTATATGTAATTTTACTATGTTAAATTAAAAGCCTTTCTTTTTTGTTTAAACAGAAAAAGGGGAAATGGTGTAGTAGGTTCTTCTATATTTGTGTTGCTTTCATTAGTTAAATAAAGAAGCTGCCTTGGCCTTTTTTTTTTTTTTTCGAGACAGGGTTTCTCTGTGGTTTTGGAGCCTGTCCTGGAACTAGCTCTTGTAGACCAGGCTGGTTTCGAACTCACAGAGATCCACCTGCCTCTGCCTCCCAAGTGCTGGGATTAAAGGCGTGAGCTACCACCGCCCGGCTGCCTTGGCCTTTTGATAGGGAAGAAACTTAGGTAGGCAGGGACGACAGAACTGTATGCTGGAAAGAAGAGCAGCGTCAGAGAGCCACCCGTCATGATGCTGCCAGGTCAGACATGTTGAATGTTTCCTGGTAAGCCGCAACCTCATGGTGACATTCAGATTATTAGAAATGGGTTGAATCAAGATGTGAGAGTTATCCAAGAGGCTAGATATAATGGGCTAGGCAGTAATTTAATTAATACAGTTTTGGTGTGGTTATTTCGGGTATAAGATAGCCGGGCAGCCAGGAGGCGGATGGGACGAAACAAAGGAACTACTCCTCCATACTACAATCTCAGAAGCAAATACTCACTTGTCTCATTAGAAACTTCATTTTGTGGGCAGGGATGGCAACCAAAACAACAGGCTGCCATTCCCTTCTGCCAGAATTTTCTTGATCCAGGACCACAATCAGCACTGCACACAGAGGGTGACATCTGCAGGAAATTAGACACATTCTGGTATCAGGAATTTTACCTACTCTTTCCATAACTATATTCTTTTGTCTTATTGAACTATCAATAATTTTATTTAATGCACACCAAATGCGTAACCCCATTAAACATAATGTGTGTCCTAATGCCAGGAATGTGATTGTATGTGAAGAAACTGATGTAAAGTTGAGTAGCTTCCCAATCCTAGAAATTTAGAAAGAATAGGTTATTTGCTGTCAGTAAACACTATAGAGATTGCAAACTTGTTTTTCTACTTATTTTTTTAACAACTTGACACAAAGTACACAACAAAGTAAGAGGGTACCTTAACTGAAATATATATCTCCATTGATCTAGCCTGCTGCCAAATTATTTAAGCATATTATTAATTGGTAATTGAGTAAGACTTCCCAGCCTACTGTGGGCGGGAATGCCCATTAGAAGGGCTGTATGAGAACTCAAGCATAGAAAGCCAGTAGGCAGTTTTCCTTCATGCTCTATGCTTTAGTTGTACTCTCAAGATTCCTGCCTTCTCATTCCTTTATTGTAACCCATGAGCCAAATCAAACCCCCTCCTCAATTTGACAATGATTAGTGTTTAGTCACATAAAAAGCATGAAAAACTAGGAAAGCTGGACATCTGAAACAGAAGAACTATTTCTTCAAATCTCAGCTAGAACACATGAACTCCAAAAATAGCACTGCAAAGCATGGCAGAGTGTAAAGAAAAAAGAGCTAAAAAATGTGCATTTGTGGTGAGGACGTGCTGAAATGATGTGTGTGAGCTGGAAGAAAGAGTGTTTCCTGATGTAAAACGGCTTTACAATGGACAGGCTTTGTGGGAGCCTATTCTGTTTGGATGCTCACCTTCCTGGACCTGGATAGAGGGGGGAGGACCTTGGACTTCCCATAGGGCAGGGAACCCCGACTGCTCTTTAGACTGGAGAGGGAGGGGGAGGAGAAGTATGGGGAGGGGAGGGAAGTGGGGAGGGGGTGGAAATTTTTAATAAATAAAAAAAAACTTAACCAAAAGAAGAAGAAGAAGAAGAAGAAGAAGAAGAAGAAGAAGAAGAAGAAGAAGAAGAAAAGATAGCTATCCAGAAAGGATCACCAAGCATAGAGAAACCTGATTTATGATGTCAATATCCTCTTCAGGGTAAAATCTCACTACCTAAACATACATTGCTCCCTACTCAGTATAATTGTAGTTGTGACTCACTTAAATATCAAATCTGCTTTGGAGTTGGCCAGTGACTCTCCTTCTCTAAATCCAAGTATGTTGCTAAAAGAAAAATTCAGAATTTCTGTTTTATCAGAAGCCACCTTGTGTGGGACAGAAGGAAAATAAAATCTAGGAATAAAAAACTATGCTTTTAAAATTTTTACTTCTCCCCATATCTACTTTCATCTCTATGGAATATTTATTTGAATATATATATATATATATATATATATATATATATATACTGAAATACAAACTTTCTATTTTGATAAGAGCAACGTTTAAGTTTTCCACAATGAACAATAGATTTTCCCACAGTAATGTTTAAAGTCTCTAGGAAAAAGATGGGGTCCCACAACAATGATTCCACCTGAATCATATAATGTCATTCAGCTGATGAATCCACTTAAAGATCAGTTTTGGACTTCAAACTTCTCAATACAATCTAGAGATTATTCATCATCACAGACTACTCTAGCCAGACCTGAGACAAGCCCTGCATCTTACCATTACACTTAGACTGTTCAAGAAATAATTCAGCTACCTCTCCCAGGACGTAACAATTAACTCAATTTATTTTTCAGGATCACCTAAAGATACTGTTGTCCGAGACAGAAGGCAGTAAATTTAAGAATGTGACACTCACTTTCCCAAGAGGTTAGGTAGATGGTTATTGGTCATTCGCTGGTATATGGATATTATAGATATGATAGGATAAAAGGGTAAATTATTAAATATACTCTGAAAAGAAAAATGGAGGTAGATAAATGATAATGTAAAAAGGTAGATTATTGAATCTACTTCTGAAAAGCAACTACTACTTTTAAATATTTTAAATTGGATTGTACTGTTAAACATTTTATACAAATTTTGTATATTGATACAAATTTGAGATTAATTTTTTAGAAAATACTGTACATACATTTCTACTCTTGTTCAAGATATTATACCTGTATAAGTCATTTAACTATGTAATGCAAGTTTTTAAGGACTTTTCCTTGAAATTTATCATTACGAATAGTTTAGAATAATGATGAAATGTCATATTAGTAGTTAATCACCTAGTGTAAACTTGTAGTCATATTAGTAGTTAATCACCTAGTGTAAACTTGTAGTCATATTAGTAGTTAATCAATCACCTAGTGTAAACTTGTAGTCATATTAGGCACACTTTCAAGATCCAAAAAAAGATATATATTAGATAGACAGATCAAGTTCATACACTTCAGAAATCTATAGAATATAGCACTTAATATGTTTTAATAACCTAGGTTTATTTTTTATAACAATAAGGCATGTGTGCTCCTGGCAGCACCAATTAATTTCAGAGAAGAAAATGGACATTGAAGAAATTCTACATGGAGTTTGCTTTCTTTGTGACAAAAGGAAGCTGCTGGGCAAGAAAAAGACTGCTGATTGTATGCTGCCCTAATTGGAAAAGCAGGAGACTAAAGAAAATGACTGACAAACATTGCCAAGACAAGGAGAGACAGCCCCCACCAACAGACAACCTTCAGAATATCCTTCTTCACAGATGTCTGTCTAATATGCTAGGACTGTAGGCCCAAGACGGATGCCCTTACATTGCAGAGGATCTTTGGGTAAATGTCAAGGTAGCCAATTCTTTCTGTCATTACTCATATTTTTTGAAAGTTGCTTGCTTGCACTTTCTGTTTATTCAATTGATATTATTTCCTTCTCAGGTTTTTGATGAATTTGAAGATGAGATATTTATGTTTATAGCTTTCCTTCTTTACCTGACAAGGAAGGCAAATTATGAGAGAAAGTAAGGTAGGTACAATAATTTGTACTCACCAAGATAAAATAGATATGGAGTATTTTCTTTGAATTTGTCAAATGCAAATGGACCAGACACTGTTGATGTATTTATTGCCTGTATATATTGAATATAGTTATTTTTCTTATTGCATATAGCTTTTATATCAGTTATAGCATTTTTAATTTTTAGACAAAAAGAGAAAATATAATGACATTTTATATGCATTTTAATAAATAAAGCTACTTTAAAATCAGAAAATTAGAACAGCCACACTGCTCAGCCTTGCAGATGACTCTAGGCAGCAATGACACACACCTTTAATCCCAGTAGCCAAAGTACCTTTAATGCATACCTTTAATCCTAGTAGCCACACTAGATTGCCATAGAAACCAGGCAGTAATGGTGCACACACTTAATCCCAGAACAAAATAGGATTATAAAATAGGAGACAATCTCAGTCTCAGTCACATTCTGAGGTTTCCGAGATGCAATATAGCTATTTTTGAACTGAGGTTAAGGTAAGAGTCAGTGACTGACTGCTTTGTTTTCTGGTCTTCAGGTTGAACCCCAATTTCTGTCTTTGAGTTTTTATTAACTATGCTTCAACAGGGTCTCCAAAATATGTGTTGGTAGACCTCACTTTCCTATATAGAATATGTCAACTTAGAAAAGACATCGAGCTGCCTCTCCTGATGCCTGCATGCTACCAAAGGGTACATTTCTTTCCTTCTTTTCTAGATTTAATGTTTTCTGTACTTTCTGAGATATTAAGGATGATTTCCAAGAAGAAAGCAGAATTTCCTTGTCCATTTTCTGCTCATTTCTCTTGAGACAGGGCCTCTAAATTCAACCCTAGCTCACTTGGAATCACCATGCATGCCAGACTAAACAGGTTGGATTTTGCCTACCTCTGCCTCCCAAGATTTTTTAATAAAGACATGCACCACAACATATACCTGGCCTCACTTTGGATTTATTGAAAATTCTTTGAGTATCTCTTCATGTAGTACAATGTTATCAGTTCAATTGCCTTAGAAAAACTTTTTAACATGATCAGACTGAAAAAAATAGTAATTAATAAAGAAGAAAATAAATTGTGGTACTTCCATTGTGTCAGGATTTTGTTTGCTTTAAATTTGAACTCTGAATGGATGCTAAAGTTTGCTAAGAATCTTTCTGCACATATTTGGATAGTTATATACTATGTGCTTGAGTGTATTTCAGTACCACATTTATTTAACTGATTTGCATAAGGTGAACCATCCTTGTAACCTTGCAATGATATTATGTTTATCATGGGGACAGATCTTTATGTTGTCTTGTTCAGTTATATTTTTCAGCCTGAAGTTGAGAATTTTCTATTCACGTCCATTAAGTGTTTAGCATCTCATTTTCTTTGTTATGTTTTATTTTCTCAAAATCACTTACCCCCAAATTTATAAGGAATCTTTTCATATTTGTAAGTAGCATTTGATTTTGGAAGCAAAAATGAATGCTCGTGTTACAAACCAATCTTATTTGTGAGTTATGATTAGAGAGTATAAAATAAACTTTTGTTTTTGAGAATTGCTTCCTAATACTGTTATTTTTTGTTATTGCTATATTTGATACTTTTCTAACAGTTGTTTTTCTGGCTTATATTCTAGTGTCTTCATCTTCCATGATAACATTTATTTACCTTACTATTCAGTGTGTTGGGGTTCTTCAAGTGTCCTTCAAAATACTCTTAAAGTGGTTATGATTTCCTATAATTTACATACATCATTAAACATTTCTGTGCCTCTGTATTAGATAGGGTTTTCTAGAGTAACAGAACTTGCAGAATAAATGTGTTCTTTTAGGATATGGTTTAGTTAATCCAACAATTGCTATATAAGAATACAAAAACTAAGACTATAGACATTTTTCAGTCCATGATGCTGATGTCTACACTGATATTCAATTGACACTTGAATCCCAAAGTTGTAGGCTCTAATGCCAGTGAAGGAATGGACTTGCTAG